GTGATTCTCTTGACATCTGACTTGGGTGACATGTTTCCTCTGTGGATTGTTGTTTTCTGAGGGAGCTGGCTGAACAGCAAGAGAAGGACAATGTTTCCTTTTATGCTTGGTCTAATGAAGAGACTTTGTAGAAGAAAGGAAACATTGTAAATTGAATTTTGCTTGATAAATTCTTATTTTAGTCAAATGCATTGAAATTAATCACGGGCCAACTTCCAAAATCGACTGCATGCATTTTTTTTAAACTGCCCCCCCACTTTGTGGTATTTGGGCACTTTTTAGCAAGCCACTCACAGATGGAATTGGTGTTTTCTCAAGTTGTCACATCAACTTTCTTTAACCGTGGCAGAGTGGCACTCCATAAGAAGTTCTTTACCATCTTGAAAAGATTTTTTAAAAATTATTTTACATCTGTAATGATAACCCAGATCTCTATGACTAGGTTAATTGAACCTTCAAACTACTGGGGAATATCTTGGTAAAGTAGGATTTGGTCCTTAGTGCTAAGTAAAATCATGCCTAAAAAGTGCAAGGATGGAAACCGCCTATCATTTCAATGCCACAGCCCTAAGAGATCACTTAGCAGAAGTGGCTGCCGTTCTTGATCTGGGTTTGACACAGCTGTGTTATTCACTGTTATCTCAAACTCCTTAACAACATTTTTAATATCTTTAGCAGCTGCAGTATTTCCTGATAGCTTTCCCCCCTACCCTTGGAAATCAATTTTTTTCTTCATTCTTTGTGTAAAAGTCTCGATGGGCTTCGTTGTTCTTATGATGACAAGAGAAGCACAGTTTTGTTTCTTTAACTTTTATTGTTGTGCAATGTAGTAAGCAGAGGAGCACGCACAACATAGACAGTCAGCCTCACAAATAATGACCACGTGAAAACGTGGCTTGTCCCTCTTATCCCTTCCCAACCACAACTCCGCCTGTCCCCTAGAAACAACTGCTATTCTGACCTTTGTGATAATTTCCTGGCTTTGTAGTTTTACTATTTTTGTATATGGGGACGTATGCATCCTCAAACAATGTAGTTTAGTTTTGTCTGTTTTTGAACTTTATATAAATGAATCGTACCAAATGTGCTTTTTTTGTGTCTTGTCTCTTACCGTGGTTGTGAGATCCATCCATGTTTTGGGTGTAGCTACAGCTCATTCATCTTCATTGCTCTACAGGATAGTATTGTGCTGTATGTTTATTCAATGTATACAGCAGTTTATCCGTGTTTTTTTTTTTGCTGTTTACTCATGAAATTGGAATTGTTCCCAGGTTTGGGCAACTATGAACAATGTGTTCAAAACATTGCTGTGCTGGTGCAAAGGAGCATGAGTTTCTCTAGGTGACTAGGAATGGATTTGCTAGGTCATAAGGAATATGAATCTTTGACTCTACTAAGTACTGCCAACTTATTTTCCAAAATCCTGGTCCCTAAAGTTAGATGCTCACCAGCAATGTACCAGAGTTTTCAATGCTCCCTTTCCTGACAACAGAGTTGTACCCAGAGGGATGTGGGCCCCAGGGCAGCACAGCCAGCATGTGGTCACTTGGACGAGGATGTTCTGTCACAGAGGCTGCTGTCACATCCTTCGTGGGCCCCTTGAGATGTTGTTACAGAAGCTTTGCAATTGAATTCAGTGATGCTCAGAAAAGAGCATAGAAAAGGGCACAGGGGAGCTGCCCCCTGTGTCCCCCCCCCCAAGGGATAGGTGCTCAGTAGCACTTGATATTGTTGGACTTCTAAATTTTTAAGCTGAGAGATGGTTTCTCCTTATGGCTGTATTTACATTTCTTTGATTACTAATAGGATTGAGTACCTTTCACATGTTTATTAGTCATTTGGAATTCTTCTTTTTGAAATGCCCATTCAAGCCTTGGCCTATTTTTCTTATTGATTAGTAGAAACTCTTTCCTTGTTTTTTATATATTCTGGATACCAGGTCCTTGTCAATTATATGCATCACAGAGAGTGTATTTTCTTGCTGTGCTTTGCCACAGATGTGCTCATGTAACTGAGGGCCTATTTATAAATTTAAAAAAATATGTAATGAGATCTTTATTTAAATGTAATATTTAAGGGCTTTTGTTAGTGGAATTTACTTTAAAATTATTCTTATGACCTATAGAAAAGTTCACGTTGCTTGCAATTATGCACTTAGATGGCAAATCAATGTAATATATTCATGATTTTGTTAGTTTGGATAGTTTGTGACTTTTAAGAAGGACCTAGGACAGTATTTTGTCAGCTTTCATTACTGTATTCTCCACATGTTCTAACACTTGTTTTATACCACATTCTTCCTTTTTCTATAGGGTACTACAAACTACTACTAAGTATAAATCAAACAGGAGTATAAAAAGAAACTCCTAATGGAGAGATCAGTCTTAATAACTAGAAGAGATTTTCTTAGAGAGATCAGTCTTAATAACCAGAAGAAAAATTATTAGCTGTAAATTAATATTTTTTCTTGCCCATTTGAAGGCTTGGAAATACAAATATAATTTCTTTTCTTCTTAAAACTAATTCCCTTCTTTAAAAAAAGATCATACTCACTGACAAATTTAATCAAAATAGAAAAGAACAGGAGAAGGGCCGGCCCGGTGGCGCACTGCTACAGTGCGCCGCTTGGGAGCGCGGTGGCGCTCCCGCCGAGGGTTCGGATCCCACATACAGACCGGTTCCCGCTCACTGGCTGAGCGAGGTGCGGGCGCGACACCGAGGGTTGTGATCCCGTTGCCGGTCCCGGTCCGGTACGGGCGCGACACTGAGGGTTGCGATCCGTTGCTGGACACAAAAAAAGACAAAAAGGAAAAAAAAGAAAGAAAAGAACAGGAGAAAGTAGAAGTCACCCCAAATTCTTCCACCTGGAGGTACTCGATGTTTTACTGAGCATGGCTCCAGTCATCTCTCTGCACTACACACATACGGATAACGTCATGACATAAAAAGGTGGACCGTACACTCCCCCATCAGCTTTTCCTAGAGCAGGTGCTATAAATCTGCAGCACTCCAGGTGGTAGTTACCAGCAGGGGGATCTGTGGGGCTCCCCATCAGCCACTCTCTCCTCACCTTGTTTTCCTTTTTTATTTTGCATTTCCAAGAGAAGTATGGAAACAGAGTGTAAAGGAAAGGGGAATGTAATTATTTATGTTAAACTCTCTTTGTCACCTCTTTCCCCCTGGGTGACGGAGATGCAAAGGATTACTCAAAGCCCATTTCTTCTGAGCAGTGAGAAGCCCTGAAGGGGTTAATTTTCAGGAACCCTCGAGAGAGGCATTCCTCCTTGGAAAATTAACACCGAACTGGTATTCTTTCTCAGTATTTATTCTCCAGGCCAGAAAGTTACGGAAAAGGAACATAGGCGGAGTTATGGCTAAGTATAGTTTAACAATAGAAGCTGGTAACATCAGTGAAATAACAAAGTGACATTCCATAATGCAGTTAGTAAAAAGTTAAGTCATTCCACCAACAAAAGCTTGTTCTTAGCAAATACTGTCTTTTCCTACAACAGATTCCTCAGTACTTTTACATAACAATAAAGCGACTTTCTTAACATATCAATCAGTAGGTTAACCTGCTCCAAGGGCATCTGTCCTTGAGCCAACGACTTTGCTGTGTTAAAATTCTTTATCCACAACAGAGACTTTAGCCCAGAGAAATTTTTCTGTCTTTTGCAAGCTTAACATTTCTATGTGTAATTTTAAAAAGTTAGGCTAAACCTGAAACTACAGGGCTTTGGAGGCTAGGCCCTGTGAAATACATTTGCTTTATTGATGTTAGTGCTCTCTACAATTTATATTTCTGCTTTGCCAAACCATTGAGAAAAGGCCTTCCCTAGAGAAAATAAGGATTAAAATTAAGCACTTCATTAAGGCAGGTCCCAAAAAAGTGGTGCCTTGGGGGGAACTATGTTAAAGAGTCAGTATTTCCTGGGCCAGCCCGGTGGCGCACTGCTACAGTGTGCCGCTTGGGAAGCGTGGCAGCGCTCCCGCCGAGGGTTCGGATCCCACATGCAGACCCGCCGCTCACTGGCTGAGCGAGGTGCGGGAGCAACACCGAGGGTTGCGATCCCGTGGCCGGTCCCGGTCCGGTACGGGAGCGACACTGAGGGTTGCGATCCGTTGCTGGTCACGAAAAAAGACAAAAAGGGGAGAAAAAAAAAAAAAAAAAGAGTCAGTATTTCCCAGTATGTGTTCCGTGTGGTGTGAAAGGGATGTGAACAAGTGCACTGTGGGCAATGCTGACGTGAGCAAATTGTGGTCTCTTCCGTGAAGGTCTCCTGCAGCACCTGCTGCATGTCCAGGCAGGGAGGGGTGGCAGGCGCTGGTTCCTGTCCTCTCAGCATGGGACCCTTTTTCACAGAAAGCCACCCAAGTCCAGTTCCGTGAAACCTTTGGGAAATGCTTATTTGACTAGTATATCATATGTGAAAGTTAGTATAAGTAAGTAGTTTTTATAAAATACAACACTTTTTTTCTGATTATAAAAATAATACATATTCATATTAGAAAATTTGGTAGATAGTTAAAGGTATGGTGAGCAAAATTAAAGTCACCCATAATTGTTTTGGAGATAGACAGTATTCGGTGTATTTTGGTGTGTTTTCCTCCATTGTCTATATTGTGTGTGTGTGTGTGTGTGTGTGTGTGTGTGTGTGATCATAGAGTATATATGTTTTGTTTTGTTTGGTGTTGGATAAAGAACATTTTATTAGCTACAGGAAAATATTATTCCTTATGGTGGAGTGCAAATAGAAATTTTTTTACTATTGTTTTATGAAAACCTTTTGATTTTGGAATAATTTTAGATTTTTTTAATAAAGGAAGTACAGAATTCCCATGTGTACTTCACCCGGCCTCCTCTAATTTTGCCACTATCTAGAGTTTTATCTAAGGCTTTTCTATGTACAACTACATTTTCTTCTAACTCTGCATCTTCAGAGTGAAGCTTTTGAATTTTCTGTTTGATAAAGCATGCCCTGCCTTCTTTTTCTTCCTAGGTTACTACAACAACAGTACCAAGGTGGCTGTGAAAACCCTGAAACCAGGCACCATGTCTGTGCAAGCTTTCCTGGAGGAAGCCAACCTCATGAAGACCCTGCAGCACGACAAGCTCGTGAGACTGTATGCCGTGGTCACAAAGGAGGAGCCCATTTACATCATCACGGAGTACATGGCCAAGGGTGAGTGAGCCTGGCACCCAGGGCCTTTACAGACTCCTAAGGCGAAAATTAAAATGTTTAAATGTTCAGAGAATATTCAAGTAATCTTGATTACAAAACAGCAGGCTCATTACTGAAATATCAGAAAATAGGAAAACAGAGCATTTTCATAAACCTACGCACTAGAAGTAATCTGTTATAAAATTAATATATAGTCCTCCTATTATCTCTGCATCTGCCTGCATATATACCTATTAGCCCCAAGAATAGTATCCCATACCTAGGTGCCCCCCAATAAATATTTGTTAAATAAATGAACATGTATTTCAAAGAATATTTTTGTTATATATTCAAATGTGAGTTCTCAAAATTCTAAAAGCAGTTCATTTTCCTCTTTAGATTTATCTAAACGTTCCGGGTGTAACTTTAAAATGTTAATATTTTTTAAACTTGTGGAGGTTTATTTCCTATGTAATTATAGAGTCACTGAAGAAGAGGTTTCAAGTGACCATCTCTTCTTCCACTGTTACTGCCTGCAGATAAAGGGCTTTGGAATCACCATCCTTCATCCTTTGTCCACCTCCAGCCCAGTAGAGATACTAATAAACTGCCAAATGACTTAAAAAAAAACAGTTTTCAGAAGTAATGAACGAAGGAAAAAAAGAAACATGAGCAATACTCCAGAATTAACAATCGTCTCATGCATGAGGGAGATTATAGTGTGATGTGATAGCCAAATAGGTTAGAAATATGAATACCACATTTTCTTATTTAATGTTTGTTAATATTTTAGAATATCCATCACTTAGAGTCCTTTCAAAAAAGGACATTGTTTACAGAAAAAACAAAAACAAACTAGCCCCTATGGCTTGGGTTGCTACAGCCCAGAAACCAGGCTCAAGGCCAACCCTTGTAGGAGTTCAGGAGATATTGTTGAATTTATTAACTAATAGTATTCTTAATTATAATCATAAATATGAGTTTTTTCTCCTAACAATGCCTAACATTCATTGAGCACTTACTGTGTACTGGACTCTTCTTGATGCTTTCCATGGGTGATCTCACTTAATCTTTCAGCAGTCTGAGGGCTAATTACTGTTGTTCTGTGTCATGAGTGAGGTAGCATAACGTTTACTGAACACTTACTACCCTCCAGGCACTATGTCCTGTGCTTTGAATCCATCCTCACAAGAACTCTGATACAGCTCTTACTGTATGACCACTTTACAAAGACTGAGGTGAGATAAGAAACTTGACTAAGGCTTCGCATGAGGATAGTACTTTAGGTTTTAGGGAAAAAGCAGATCTCATTTTAGAGAAGGAGCTTTTCTTATTATAATACCAATAATGTGAGGAGATATTATAATAAGAGGCCTTACCCTTGACAACCAGGAGTGCAGCCTGTCCGCTTCAGTCTCAGTGTGAAGTCACATACCTCCCACATCCGATCTCTAGAGAAGGAGTCATAGGAAGTAGGCAAGTGTGTCTATAGGCACACTGTTTTTTAGGTAGGTCTGACTTTTTCCCAATGCACGGTTCATTCATCAGATACTCTTTGAGTACCTGTGGCATGTGCCGAGTCTGTCCTTTTTGCTGGATACGAATAGGAGCGAGCCCAGTTGAGTGTCCGCTAAGGATAAGCCCTCTGTGAGGCCTTGTGGGTTTCTGTTCCAGAGGAGCTCACTGAAGATCAGCCTGCTGCAGTGAGCGTATCACGGTGGCAGGTACTTTGAAATGCATTGCTCTCAGACACATGTTGAGAGAAAAGCAGTATCCACCATCATCCTTTTTCACATCAGATCGAAGGTAACAGGTTAGAAAGGACTGGGTTTGACAATCTCAGGAAAAGGCTTTATAACCACACAGAAGTGCAAAGCCAGGCATTTTGTGGGTTTCCCTTCTAATAGTAATGATCACTTGAATTTTGTGCAGATTTTTTCCTATGCATTTATACTACACTCACTTCTTCTAAACACAGGCAGTTTGCTGGATTTCCTGAAGAGTGATGAAGGTGGCAAAGTGCTGCTTCCAAAGCTCATTGACTTTTCTGCTCAGGTAAAGTAGTGAAGAACCCAGGGTGCGTGTAAATTGGCAATGACCTTTCTGCTTTGAATTTATGATGAAATTTTTCCAGGGAGAAGGAATTTCTTTTTTTTTTTTTCCTTTTTGTCTTTTTTCATGTCTGGCAACGGATCACAACCCTCAGTGTCGCG